TTAGCTGATATTTTCTTCTCCAATAAAAGCAAACTGCTACTGAGAGTTTAATATATTATCTTTCCTTCATTTTCATAGGAACATGAAAAAATAGTTGTTTTTGATTTTGGAATAACATCTACTGCTGTTGATTTTTGGACTATTCCTGATGCTCCTCAATATTCTTTCCTATTGTTGAAGTGATTTGCATTAAGATAAGCAAAATTGAACTCTGAATTGTGGTTGTGTGATAGCATATTAAATGAGCATGGTGTTGACAGTCATTTAAAAAAATATATCAGAATGAGAAGAGAAAGGCAGTCTGTTAATAGTATCTGTTCAATGTTAATAATAGTTAAAAAGACACACACACACACACACACATATTGTAAGGCACCAGAGAAAAAAAGGCAACCCCAAAATTAGCCCTCCAGGAGCAGCTGTTATTTCATCTGTGACTAAAAGTTAGAAAATGGCAGGGTTCATTGCTCACAGATGGAAGGTTGCAGAACTCTTCTTCCTCTTTATATTCTCATTGGTCTACTGGTAGGAGACTGGTAATTTAAAACAGAAATACTCATTCCATTATTAATGGAATGGGATGGAAAAGGATGTTAATAAAGAGATGCTAATAAAGAGATGCTAGTATTTCTTCTTGACCTCATTTAGGGTTGACGAAAGAATGGAATATTAATTTTAACACAGAACAAATGGTTTTAATAGATCTGTTTTTTCTGCTTCTACTCCTCATCACCCCACTCATTCTTTGCCATTAGTTACACTTAGATCGTAATCTACCCCTCCAAAACAATGAAAAAAAGCTTTACACGATTTCAAAAAGATTTCAAAAAATAAAAGGTTAAGACATCTGTTATATCTCTCTCCTTATAATTAGTGTCTTGTTCATCTACTTTTTTATATAAAGCAACTATTATGCAAATATTCAGCAATTTTGTTTCAAGTCCTCTTTGTACTTGGATGAGCAATTTTGTGTAATTCTAATTCAACTGCCTCTATCACATCACCCCATAATTTTTTTCCTGTTCTCTTCCACCCTTCCATCTTGTATTTATGATGATGGTGAAGATGATTATAATTTTGTAGAAGGAGTGGTTAGTATGAAATATGTTTATGCTTAGTGAATCAAGCTTTGAGGTGTTCATATGAAATAAAGTCACATCACAGTCACATCCTCTCTTATAGAGGAATCCTCACTTTCTACCCCTTTATACAATAGTATAAGTAATTTGTAGATCTATGTAAATTAAATCTGATCCTATTCTAATTACTCATTCGATTTGGTTAATCAAGTTGATTTTATTTAATTTTAGTTATATTTCCTTTTGCTTTTCATCTTTCATGTCTTTCATTGACTATTTATTGCTATCCTCTCTGGATAATTGCTTTCATTGTCAAACTGTTCTAACTCTTATGAATATTTTTTCTAACATTCAGTTGGAATTTGTTTTCTTGTATCTTAATTCCATCATGTCATGTCCTACGCACTGGAATGAGAGAACAAGTTTCATCTTTTTATCTATTATTATATGAGGTGTATAAATAATTTTATCAATCTTTCTTCATAGGTTTAGTTTCTAACCCCCAACCATCTTTGCTGATCCTTTGTGGAACTTTGCTGAATTCTTTTTTAAATTATAAAACCCACAGTAGGGTAAGGTTCTGGAAGTAGGGTCTGACAGATAAAATGAAAAGAAATGACTACTTCCTGTAAATTGAAAATTATACTTTGGCTGGCGCAGCCTAGAATTAAATGTGTCTTTTTGTGTAACATAGCAGGACTTATACTGAATTGATAATCAACTTCTATTCCAGTATTTTTTCTTCTTTTTCAAACCAGGTATTCCACCTATACCTGGGCATTGATTTTTGTTTCCTAACTGAATGTTGTATCTTATACAGCTTTGATGAGTGTTCCTTCAAACACTTTATCCCAATCATTAATGAATAGGATGGCCCAGGACTGACCCTTGTTACATCCATTTGATCTTTCTCTGTTTTTTTAAACTGTCTCTCAGTATGATTTTCAATCCAGCTATGTATTTATTTAATAATGATGCCATCTAGCACACACTAACTAGGCAGTATATCTTGGAGTACCTTGTCATATGCTTTGCTGAAATCAAGATATATTAAATACAGATAGTCCTCAAATTATGATCAGTCACTTAGCGATTGTTCGAAGTCACAGCAGACATCTCCAGGGCTACTTGCAATCCAGATTTGAAGTTCTGCACCACCACCCCTGCAGTTGCATGATCTCATTTTGGATACTTGTCAACCATTTGTGGCAAGAAAACACCCAGGGTGGACAATGGATTTGCTTAATGACCACCATGGTTCACTGAACAAATGCCACAAAAAAGTTCACAAAATCTTGGACAGCCACATGATGACCTGCTTAATGACTGACATGACTTATGACTGTAATTCCAGGCCCAATTATGGTGGTAAATTGAAAACAACTGTAAGAAGATAGTTTAAAAGTCTCACAGTAGGAAGTCCTGCTTTTCTGTTCTCTCTTTACTCTTAACTCATTAGTTTTATTAAAAAAGATTGAACTAAAGTAAGAGTGGGATAGCTCTGATTTTTATTTGATATTAGCATTTTGCCATCTTCATTAGCAGCTGGTATATCTGTTTTCCTCTTTTATTTTGAATATGCCTAAAGATGCCATTCTTATTCTTTTTTGCTGATCTCAACTCATTCCAAACATTTACTTTTGTGACTTCATCAGAATCAGAACAGAGCTGGAAGGGATCTTGGAGGTCTTCTAGTCCAGCCCTCTATTCAAGCAGAAAACTCTATACTATTTCAGACAAGTGGCTGTCCAGTCTCTTCTTAAAACCTCCAGTGATGAAGCACCCAAAACTTCTGATGGCAAGCTGTTCCACTGGTTAATTGTCCTTGGTATTAGGAAGTTTCTTCTTAATTCCAGGTTGCTTCTCTCCTTGATTAGTTTCCATCCATTATTTCTTGTCCTGCCCTCTGGTGCTTTGGAAAATAAATTGACCCCCTCCTCTTTGTGGCAGCCTCTCAAATACTGGAATACTGCTATCATGTCACCCCAGTTCTTCTTTTCCCTTGACTAGCCAAACCCAAATCCTGAAACTGTTCTTCATATGTTTTAGTCTCCAGGCCTTTAATCATCTTAGTTGCTCTTTTTTGCACTTTTTCCAAAGTCTCAACATCTTTCTTGTAATGTGTGACCAAAACTGGTTGCAGTATTCCAAGTGTGGTCTTATTAAGGCTTTATAAAGCGGTACTAATACTTCATGTGATTTTGATTCTATGCTTCTGTTTATACAACCAAGGATTGTATTAGCTTTTTTGACTGCTGCCACACATTGCTGACTCATCTTTAAGTGATCGTCCACTAGAACTTCAAGGTCCCTCTCACAGTTATTGTTTTGGAGCCAGATTTTGCTTAATCTGTACTTGCACCTTTGGCTCTTCCTGCCCAGGTATAAAACCTTGCTTTTTTCCGTATTAAATTTCATTTTGTTGGTTAGGAGCCATTGTTCAAATCTGTCAATATCTTTTTGGATCCTGAGCTTGTCTTCTGGAGTGTTGGCTATTCCTGCCAGTTTATGTGTGGGGTCACAGCTCATCTGTGGAGTCCTGGGCTAGCTATCTTTATTGTTCATCCATTTTTAATATGTGTTCTTTTAAAAAATTCTCTAAGCTTTTTATGCAGTCAGATTAGTTTTGTTTGGATCCAGAGAATTATCTGAATCCTTCAGATCTCCAAACTGAATATTTACCCAATCTGTTAATCAGTGAATCCAATGTAGATCCTAGTGCCAGTCTGTGACATTTCCATGCTGTTATACCCATTGCAAAATGCAGAACATCCTGCTATATCTGTGCCTTGGAGGTGAAGGAACAATAATAGATGAGAATTTTTTTAATAAATTCAGTAAAGTTGAATTAAGATATCATGGGAATGCAGTTAATATTGTACATAGTCCTTTCTCCTTCAAGCAGGAAGAAAAATCCCCATAGAGAGAGTTCTTTAAAAGAAGATTGTATAACTAATCAAAATGCCAAAGCATCTAAGTTGTGCTTCTAAATCAGGTTGTGCCTAGAAGTTTATATGTTTTGGTTTCATGTCAAATACATTTTTTGCAATTGGATAAATCATGAACAGTATTGAAATTAGATTCTTCTGGGACCTTGGAGAGATGACTTTTCTGTGGCCATCCTTGCCCTCTCAAATAATCCCACCCTCAACTCATTTAGGAAATTCTAAATCTGTAGCTCTTTCAGCAAGCCCTGGGGCAGGGTGACCCTGTACTGACACTGGGATTTTATTTCTTACTGATGTCTTTCCCCCAATGTAGTACTATATTGTTGTTTATTACTTGTTTTATTGTTTTAATATGCTATACACTGCTTGGAGTTGGTTGGAGGATTGAGGTGATTTATACATTCAACAAACAAACAAGAAATAGTTTTGCTGAAATCTGCTTTCTCTGAGGAAATTCCATTAAAACAGTGTCTATTCAGCAAGGTTTTCTACAAAAACATATGAAGATTTTCTTTTTAAAAAATTCTGAGAAAATTGATGGAAGGAATGATATGCAACAATAGTAGTTTGGGATTTAAAGTAATCCACATATCCTTAAATAATGCAAAAAGAACGAACTATTAAAAATCACATTACAAAAACATTAGCAATATAACTCAAAGAAAGAAATAAAATTAATCATCCATGAAATGATTAAGAGAATAAAAGGTACTAAAATAAGGGCAGCCAAGTATCTCTGGGAACAATATTCTATAATCAGGTTAGCATCAGCAGAATAGACCCTATTATCAGATAGTAATCTAAGCATCGCTATAACATGAAGATCTTAAAAGAATGTGCTGGCTCACAGGGGAGAAAATGGACTTTCCTGAATTTCTTATTTAGCAAGTCTATATTTAACTGGAAGCAGAGAATATCCTTTGTATTAGAACACTGAGCTATAATTTCAATTTCAATTTTTTTTTTCTTTTAGGAAGCACTTATAATGGCAAGTATGGACCATCCACATCTGGTTCGGTTATTAGGAGTCTGTTTGAGCCCCACCATCCAACTAGTTACTCAGCTGATGCCCCACGGTTGTTTATTAGACTACGTGCATGAACATAAAGATAACATTGGTTCCCAGGTTTTGCTGAATTGGTGTGTTCAGATAGCCAAGGTAAGTCATTATTTATGCTCTAGAACTGTCACTCATTTTCACTTTAGATTTCATATTGTTTTGAGAAATGGGGGGGGGGTCTAGGGTTTGCTTTGTTTTTAAATTATTTCTGTGTAGCATTAGGGTAATTTATGAATTGCATGGTTCTAACTGTAAAGGACAAGGGAAATTTCAAATTCTTTTACCAAATTATTATATATTTTCTTCTGTTGAGTATTATACCCTTCATTTTTAGTACTGATATAGTTATTTTTCTGAAGCAAAATTAGTATCTGCCAAATTATCACTTTTTGAAGTTATCTAATACAGCGGTCCGCAACCTTTGCAGGTTGGCAGCCATGGGGGGACAGGAGAACCAGGTCACACGAGCAGCAAGCTAGTGTGCTCACACGCATGTGCAGCTTGACTTGCACAAGCAGCGGACTTGCACACATGTGCATCTTAAGTTGGGCTGGCTCTCGTGCAAGTTGAGCTGTGTTCATGTGCTGGCCCACCACTCAAACAAGATGAGCTGCAGGTGCATGCAGGCCTGCCAGCCCTCTGCTTGTGAGACCTAGTTCCGAATAGGCCATGGCCCGGTAATGAGGTTGGGGACCCACAGCCCAGAGGTTGGGGACCCCTGGTTTAATAGAATATAATTTTAAAAAGAAGATATTCTAGATTGCTGGATTATAGATAATGTTTGTGTATAGAAGAAATAGTTGTATTTTGACAAATTTAATCACCCATGCTTGAAACTGGTTGAACAGTTTGACAAAGGAATCCAGAGGAATTATTAGCCTCTATGATAATACTAAGCGATATATCAGACTTTACGTAATAGTGAATGATCATCTTTATTTGTTCATATTTTAATTACAATTTAACTAATTTATACTAATACATAAACTGAAATGGTGTTATGGGCCATTTCCATAATTGTAATATCTGTACTTTTCAGTGTTATAGTTCAGACTGAGCATATATAGGAGAGAAATGTACACAGAGATGTTTTTGTTAGTAAAAAAAAAATTGGGAAAAATTGCTTATATATTAGGCGGTTCAATTGCTGTATGTTTGTTGTGTACTATATGTTAGTATACATTACTGCTGTATGTTATATATACTATATATGTTCATGATAATATTTTTTATTTTTTGCTTTTCTGGACCTGAAAATATCTGGTTTGCAAAGGAAATAGTTTATTACACAATAAAAATGTCAACTGGTCTACAATCAACCCAAGTGCAGTTATCTTTTGGATTTTATACTTGGGCCAAACAGTTCAGCTCAAAAAAGTTGCATTTTTTGATTTTGTACAAAAATGCCCCAAATGATGTATATTTTTTTTCTGGGGAATTCATTATAATATCAATTCCCAAATTCTCAAATCAAGTCTGTTTGATTAGAAAATTAAGTGACATTCAGGGGTTTCCAGAGAATCTTGCTCCTTTTGTGTATTCAACTTTGCAACAGGAAAAAGGATGTGGCTTGCATTGTGACACTGTGACACTGCTTTTCTCAGTCGGACCTGCTCCCCTTGCCCTTGCATTCTGCTGTGACCACTGCTGGCCACATTACAGATTATGTGAAAAGAATGTCATATTAAAATATCTTCTGGACCCAATTGTGTAAGATTAATTTCTGCTGCTGCAGCCTCAGAAAGTGAGATGTGAATGCCTGTTTATAAAATGTTAATACCAGAAGCCTTGAAAGTAAACTTCCGCATCCCTTCCTCAAAAATGTTCCCTAGGCTCTTCCATTTGGACATTTTCTTCCAAAAGACTAATACTGCCTTTTGGGTGAGGTGGTCAAACAGATGATAACCAATCAACTTCAATAGTGCTTAGATGAAAGGGATTTTCTGCACTCAATTCAATCTGGCTTCATCCTTGATTGACTTTATATCTGATCTGTATTGGAACAAGAAAGGAGAGCATAGCCCTGATGATTTACCTGGATCTCTTGGTTGTTTTAGATAACATCAATCATTACATTCCCTTACAACAGCTCTGTTAAATGAGATTTTGGCATTTATGATACAGTCATTCGTCTCCTTTATTTGTAAGCTACTGTAGGAAGTCATTTAGGGATTTGTAATTATTAGACTTCCGATCCATTTCAGCAGATGAGATAAGGCTGTGATCAGAAGTATCACTCAGAGTTGAAGACAGACCTATTGATAATTGGATCTAATAAGAGCTTTTATAACTATATTTTCTGGACTTACAGTACCCAATGACTGCATATTTGGCTTGTTAAAGTCAACCTTTGTAGCACATCTAGTCTATATTTTGGAGCATACCTAGTCTATATTTTACCTCTAGTCAATGACTAGAAGCTGGTCATAAAACAGATACTGTTAATTTTCATACAATTTCATTATAGAACCATTTTGAAGTTAAAGTACAAACTGATGAATAATTCAGTAAACTTTTTTAGAATGCAGTTTTTCTAAATATTATTTCTACTTATGGTGGTAAACAAAACAATTCATTTTTGGAGTATATGGCCAAAGTTGCTTTGCCAAACTGCACTGGATTTACTCTCAGGTGTAGATTTCCTAAAGCAGTTTGGCAAGATTTATTGTGCCTATCTAGAAGCTGCCCAGAGCACAATCCAAAATATCCACTGACCCTTTCAGATGGTTATTTGTATGGCCTGAAGTTGTTTTGGATGTTTGCTTTTTATTAACTGTATCTTTCTCTACATCAGTTTCTGGTGACAGTTTTTTGTGCTGAGGCTGAAGAAGAAGGAACAAAAGGTCTTTACTTTTATTGTGAATTTTGTTATGTGAATGGTTTAAAATGAGGTTATCACTGCTGTAGTAGGCATCAGCCCTACTGTGTTTGTCTTTGTCTGCTTTTGTGCAGTGTTATTTATTAAAGCTCCTAGTTCAGATAAATTATTTGGCATGAAAGTTCCTTTCCAGCTGTCTCAAATTGTGTATGAAAAGCTACAAATACTGGAAAGAATCCCACTCTGCCAGGAGCAATATGCTTCTCACAATATCATTTTTGGAAGGGGGTAATTAGTTATTATTAAAGACTATCCAGTTAGGATTGAGATTTTTGTTGTCATTTTGTACATCAATAGTGTTTATATGTTTTAAAAACAAAAGAGGTATTGTAATACATGTGCCAGAAGTTTTCCTTTCCTAGAAAAGTTTACAAAAAAATGTATGTGTTTTTATTTGCCATCAGACTCATAATGCAATCTGTTTGTGCACAGAGTTTTCCACAGAGATTTTTGGGAGAATAGAATAGAATACTTTATTTAGCTAAATGTGATTAGACAGTCTAGAAATTTGTTTCCAGTGTAGAAGCTCTCAGTATACATACAAAGCAGGGGTGTCAAACTTGAGTCATCACAGAAGCGTCATATGACGTATCAGGACATTTTTCCCCTTCGCTAAACTGGACGGGGGTGGGGCCAGCATGTGACGCATCTGGCCCACAGACCACAAGTTTGACACCCCTGATGCAAAGCAACAGAGTAATAATAACCATCATAATAATACCAATAAGAGGGGGTAATACAAAAGTTAAGACGGATAATAATAACTACACTACAGATGTAAAACATGGATAAATATACATAGACATTAGACAGTACTGTGAGAATTAGGTGTTCAGCAGAGTAATTGCATGAGGGAAAAAACTGTCCCTGTGTCTCGTTTTGTATGCAATGCCCTATAGTGACATCCTGAGGAGAGGAGTTGAAACAGTTTATGTCCAGGATGTGAGGGGTCTGTAGATATTTTCTTAGTCCTCCTTCTGACCTGTGCAATATACAGATCTTTTATGGAAGGCAGGTTGCAATTTCTTGTTCTGCAGTCCAAATTATCCACTGAAGTCTGTACCTGTCCTGTTTGGTTGATATACCAAACCAGACAGTTATAGAAGTACAAATGACAGACTCAATAATTTCTCTGTAAAACTGAATCAACAGCTTCTGGGGTAGTCTGAACTTCCTGAGTTGATGTTGCGCCTTCTAAATGATGGTTCTAATGTAAGGTGTCCATTTTAAATCCTCAGAGATTATAGAAGCCAGAAACTTGAAGGTCTCTACTGTTGATACTGTGCTGTTGAATATTGTAAGAGTTCCTTCTAAAATCCACAGTCTTATTCCCCAAAGCCAAGGTATAGTGGCTTTGATATTTCTGAATGTGTCCATCACACTGTTTAATCCTTAAGCTAGATACCTTCTTAAAAGGGCAAGTATTCTACATTCTCTCTAAAATAATTGTTAAGTTTAGGATAGATACGTATGAGACATATCCAAATTCTTGGTTTGAGGCATGTAACATTACCAAGTTTGTCAAATTGCACAGTAAGACTCTCATTGCAGTAAGAAGTTTGATTTCATTTAGTTAGTTTTAGTCTACTGTACATATAGTTTTGTGGTGTAAGACATTCAAAACATGTCCTTTTTGGTTGTCCTGGAAGCTGATGAAAACCATATGTCATGCTGTTAACTGAGTACTGACTTGCTGCTGTCATACCACATCCATCAAGGGTAGATATAGCACAAATGTGTGGAATTGATGCTCCTAAGGGATAAACCCAATGAAATTAGTTAACCTTGCATAATTTAACTGTTACTTTTAGATTACCATATCTCTATGCATGTTAATACTGAGATCAAGATATTCACCTAGTATTCAGTAGGATTTCCATGGTTACACTAGCTTAAAAATCAAGTTCAAGGAACATTATAGCATTTTCTACACCTCTCCTGTGTGAATCAGCAGCCACAGTGATTAGCACAGAGAGAACAAGCCTTCACAGTTAAAATAGTTTTCTAAGATTAGGGCCATTTGGCTGTATTGTTAGAGAAGAGCCTTTTTCCTTTTATTCTCCTTGGCAGCATTTGATTGATAAGCAGGCTAGTTAAAAGCAGCTTTCGTTATTTTGAAGCAGCCAGGAGTGAAAGATGGGCAGACTGTGCGTGCAGTAGGAGGAAACAAGGGTGAGCAGAAAGGTTGAGAAGAGGTGAAGGGATGTAGCTGTGGTTCAAG